CATCTCAATGCAACTACTAAAAATATTTGATGTGTCACAGTCACTTCGTGGGTCAATTTAACCATGATGCTGTATATACGAGATTTGATACGTGGTTCAAACAATTTGTAAGTTTATCCTTAAAATATTCTAACACTATGTAGGTAAACAATGTTTGGAAGTTATGCTAACTTATGAATTTTTTTAACAATATGTAGGTCAATGATCCAAATAATGGTGTAAATCAATTTTTGAAAGATATATCTTGGGGACCTGGGCTTGAGGCCACAACAATGTCTAAGTACGTTGTGAATGGTTATAAGTTTCACACAGAGGATTGCTCTAAAAATAAAAATAGCAACAACAGTGGGGTGTGGGTTCAAGGTGGTGATGGCAACCAAGTTGGAGAGATTGATTATTATGGTGTGCTCAAAGAAATAATAGAACTAGAATATACAGGTTGGCCATTTAAGAAGTTGATACTCTTTAGATGCAAGTGGTTTGACCCAAATCCAACAAGAGGTACAAGAGTACACAATCAATATAACATAATTGAGGTTAATCATACGAGGGAGTATGATCGCTATGATCCTTTCATACTTGCACATAATGTTAGGCAAGTGTATTATGCTCCTTATCCATTGCGGCGGAATAAGTCCGATTGGTGGGTTGTAATAAAAACTAAGCCTGTAGGTAGGGTGGAAGTCGAGAATGTGTTAGATGTTGCATATCAAAACGATATCTCCAGTAGTGGACGAACTTTTAGAAAATGATTTGGAACATCCTGAACACATATTAGAAGAAGTTGATATAAATGAAGTAAGAATTGTAGAAAACGAGGAAGAAGAATCAACTGATGAAGCTCAAACTAGTGAGGAAGAAGAATTCTGGGACGAGGAACAATACGTCGATGAGCTTTAAAAAGTTGGTTTCGTTAATAACTCTCGTTTATAGCTAGTTTCTTTATATGTTTCAATCTAAATATGTATTATATTATGCAGATGACAGGCAAGGGTCGAGGTAACAATGACCCTACTGATTCTCGGGGTCGAGAAAAGGCTAGGAAACCAAAGAGGAGGGTAGAAGATAATACTCAATCTTTTCCACCCTCTTCAGAGATGCCTATGCCTATGCCTATGTCTTTGTCTCCACCCCAGGGCTATTCTGAGCTGCCACAGCATCACGAGCCCTACATCTTCGGGCAGACATCAGGTCTTTCGTCACAGGGCCATAGGACTATACGTCCGGCATACAGTCCAGCTGCCTCACGACCACGTGGATCGCAGCCATCTGCATCGCATGGATCGCATCGATCTATTTCACATCCACATGGATCATATCCATCAGTGTCACAGCCACTTGGGTTAGAGCCACTCGGGTCACAACAATCAGTATCACAGCCACTTGCGGTCCATCCAGCTATGTCGCAGTCACAGGGATCGCAGCCATCTTCATCGGCGACTCCATCTATTTCAGGCCTTTGCCTGCGAGATACTAGCTCTGACCCCCCTACACCTTCCACACATGCCTCTGATATACATGCTTCGGATGGTCATTCCGGTGATGACGAGGAGATGCATTATGATCAATATGGCAGGATCATCATAGTCCCTGGGGGTGATGGGTAAGAGTTATTTGTTATTTTTACGTTTATTATTTTGTACAGTTTGTACTAAGATATTAATGTATTTTTTTTATTAAATTGCAGGTTCATCCCGAGTAATATTACTACGAGGATAATCACTAAAGCCACCAGAAAGCTTTATAATGGCCCTTATGCGACTTGGAGTGAATTCCCATTCTCGCTGAAGGAGCAAATTTTCAATCAATTTAAAGTATAAATGTTCTTTTAAGCAGTATAATTATTTATATTTATGATATTTCCATATAATATTTAACTTTTGTAATACAGAGCAAGTGTATATGGGAACGCCACTATAGCGCGGAAGTGGCTGCAAATTTTCATCACAAAGCTCGCAAGCGGTTGTCGCATAGTTTCTCCAAAGTTAGAAAGTTGAACCAGAAGCCTGACTGGTTGCTTTAGAATTTGTGGGAGGATTTGCAAAGGCAATGGCTTACCGCAAAGTTCTTAGAAAAGAGCGAAAAAGGAAAGAAATCTCGCGCATCTGAGAAGGAAGGCTCCTTGCACACTGGAGGTGCGATCAGCCTAGGGACAATAAAAAGAAGATTGGTATGTAATTGCTTAATTTATTTTAATTTTCAAAGTATATCTATTCTGTTTATTAACTAAAATTTATGAGTTTTCAGGAAAAAAAGTTGGGGTGTCCGATGAACCAAGATGAGCTATTCAAGGAGACTCATATTGTAAAGAAGAAGAAAGAGACGGATCAAGAAAGGTGGGTCGAGGGCCGAGCCTCGACTGTACATGTAAGTTTTCACTTTTCATTAAGTATTTTGATTTACTTTTGTATAAATTTTGAAATACTAATTCAATGTAATTTTTCTTATAGGGTCGCTTCACAGCTGACGTGGAGGAATTCATACGCAGTCAGCCAAGTAATGAGCCAGGCGAGCCAATCCAACCTTCGGACGAGGATGCTGAAAGAATGTGGACGGAGGCTGCTGGGGTTCCAAAATGGGGGAAGGTATACGGGCTTCCTACTAAGAAATTCCATCGCTATAAGTGTGGAATGCAAGGAATAGGGACTTCCTCGCAAGGCGAGCAACTTGATGGGGAGAGCCTCTCCGCTATGCGGGAGACTGTGACAAAGCTCACATCCGAGCTAGAAGCGGCCAAGGAAAGAGAAAAGCTTAGAGATGCTCAGTACATTGGCATGCAAGCTCAGTACCAGGGCATGCAAGAGCAGCTCAAATCTCTCCTAGCTTCTGGATGTTTTCCGATTCCCCGATCTCGTGAGTCATCGCCTCTAGTGAGTCATCGCCAGAGGCTCGACTTGAACGTAAGCGTTCCTTCCGTCCTCCCCGTGCTCGTTCCTCCCGTCCTCCCCGTGATCGTTCTTCCCGTCCTCGACAAGTAGACCCTTCTGCATACCGTCTTGGTGATGAAAGTTCATCAGACGGTGATGATAATGATGTTGTACAAAACACTCCTTGACTTTTATATACTTTGAACTAGACAAATAGAACCGGTTTTGAACTAGGTGTAATAAGCGTTAACTTAATATTGTTAGTTTAATTTGTTAGCTCTATTGAACTTTATTTTGTTGGTTTTAATGTATTTTTTGAATTGTGTTGTTGTTGTTGTGTTGTTGTTGTTGTGGTGGTGGTGGTGGTGGTGGTGTTGGGTTGTTGTGGAGATTTTGGTATTGAAATTGTAGTTTATGAATTGAATTATATTGTTATTTAGGAATTTGGTATGCTGGCAGGTGGTGTAGCTGCCAAAACAGGCAGTTTCTGCCAAAATTATACCTAGAAAAAGTGACCAACTTTGGTCGCTTTTCTATTTAAAAAATATATTTTCTGGGCAATAGCGACCAAGGTTGGTCGCTAATTAACCCAGATTTCCTAAAAAGCGACCAACTTTGGTCGCTATTCTGTTTAAAAAAAAAATTCAGGAAATTAGCGACCAATTTTGGTCGCTTATGTTTAAAAAAAAATTAAATTCTTGAAATTAGCGACCAATTTTGGTCGCTTATGTTTAAAAAAAATTAAAAATATTTTTAAAAAAAAGCGACCAACTTTGATCGCTATTTTCCAGATTTTAAAATATAATATTTGATTTACAGACCAAAGTTCGTCGCTATATTTTGAATAATAATAAATAAAAAAACGTAATTTAAATATAGAGACCAACTGTGATCGCTAAATTTATATTATTAAAATATTAAAGCGATCAAAGTTGGTCGGTATATTGTTTACCGGAATATTTGGTCGCTAATTAGCGACCAACTTTGGTCTCTAAGGTAAAGGGACCAGCAAAATAGCGACCAAGCCAGTTTGGACGTTTTTTGGTCGCTTTGCGACTTGTAAGCGACCAACTTTGGTCGCTTTTTGTGGTCGCTTTTTTCCGGATTTCTAGTAGTGTACTGTCGCTCATTTGACTTTATTGCTTACATTTATTTGTTTTGCTGATTGTTCTTCATTTATTACTCATCATTGATCATAAAGAGCCATCATCAAGGTCCTTAGAACTGTTAGTTCTTCACCGACCATCCCCAGTCTGACACTCTAGCTCGACCTCAAGGCCCAGCATAGGCCAGCTCGAGACCCCGATTCAAGATTATTCATTTTGCATAACATACTGTCCTCAAGCTTTTATCTCATTTTCCTGACTCACACTTAGCATCTATCGCTTAACAATTAGCATTAAAATAAATCACGTATTTTTAGAACCACAAAATTAAATTTAATACGTAATTACCATTTTCAAGATAAACATTCTTCTATCTGAATTTTTCCTTTCCAAGCCACTCGGGACCTGACTCAAAACCTCTCATTAAGAATGGTTTGAACTGTGTACTTTTTTCTTCGACGGAAGAAACGTATTGCTTTGAATCTGGAGCGGATAACTTTGCTAGCTAGTAGCCTAGTACTTTTTTTTTTTTTTCACATCCTCCTTTCATTTATTCATCTTTTACTATCGGTAAATTCTATATATTAGACATTCAAGATATAATGCTCAATATGCATTTATAGGCATTTATTATCCTTAATTGGTTGGCTCATGGCTGTGCAATGTTGGTAGTTTGCTTCATATGTATATATAATAACTATAGCCAGTTACCTTTTTGTCTCAGTGAAAGATAAACTTGATTGCTTGTCGGTTGAATTTCATAGTGATTCCCGAATTAATGATTTATCATACAGAAGTACCTAAATTAATTCAGTAACTAGAATATATGACTATACTTATATATTAAACAACAAACTGCAGACCACGGAAATTAATATGAATTCCGATTATATATTCCCAAACAACATACCTATACGTGTGAAATTCTCTAGACACTCCCAACTCAACCAATTACCCATATTTCCAACCCATTATCCAAATATTTCACCCGTTATGACCCAAAGTAACACCATTCCATTAGAGACAATGAGAATCAAAATGCTCTCCTCTTTATTGCACACAACTTAAACTGAAGAATTTAAAGATCTTAGATACTCCTACTTCGTAAGGATTTTCTAGTAGTCAACAAAATTAATAAGGAGAGAGTGTAAGGAAAATCCTAGAAGAATAATTTGAAATGCAAAATCAAAATATGAAGGAAACAGAAATTTAAAAAAGAAAAAAAGAGAGAAAATATGGTCTATTGCAAAAGTAGGCTTCTAATAAGTGCAGCTTGGGCGGTGTCTGAAGTGGCCAAGAGCTGAGATAAGCGCTCACTAAGATCATCAACTTCTCTGTGTAAGCCTCTTATGTAGTTGCATGTGTCTTGTAACACCCTCGCTGATGAAACCTGCCCCAATTACAAATAAAAGAACATTAATTCATATCAAAAGTACTGTATGCTTTTAATTACATAAATTGTACTGTGTAATACTCCCTCCGTTCACTTTTACTTGACATGTATACTAAAAATAAATTTTTATTTTTACTTGTCACTTTACGCATATCAAGAGAAGCCATTTTTTTTTTCCTCTTATATATACCCACAGTATTTATTACTCATTTCAAATCAGTTTCTCAAATCAAATAAAATATGCATCAATTAATATGTGTATCATGGTAAATTATGCACTTCATTTATTATTTCTTAAGGGGCGTGAAAAGTCAAAAGTGAAAGGGAGTAGTAAGAGTATATAATTAGAGTCAACCTATTTATGTAGAGACAAGTTTAGTAAGTTCAATGAATCAAGGGACAAAAGGAATCCTTTGGTTAAAATTAAATATATTATCACTTCGCTTGGTTTCTAAGGTCCTTGAGAAACCAAGAACTTAAAACCTAGGAAAGGTCATCGGGACCACTGGGACTTATAACCTCTTAATTTCCCTTGTACTAGGATTAATTACTAGTAGCTTTTACTAGGTTCTTCCTTCTTTATACTCTATGCACCTCGTAATATATATACACACCCAGAGGGGAAGCTACACTTTGGTAAGAACGGTCATTTGACCACACTTTGTCGGAAAATTATATTGCGTATGTAGGTAAAATATTTGATTTTAGAGATACGTGACATATATTGAACATTCTTTGTCAGAATTTTTTTTTTTTACTTCTTTTAAGTTTGGACACCCTTGAGGAAATTTACGACTTCGACTGAATACACCATTATAAAAGAAAGAATTAATATTAATAGAGCTAAACATACAAATACGTACCTTGTCAGAGGACCTATTACGAAGCTCAGGAAGAAGGTCCTGCAACTTGGAAACAAGATCATTTATCTGGTCTTCAGAAATCCTTGAAGATACTCCTGAATGTCTTGAACGTGACGACCTTCTGCTTGACATTTTTCAAACGTAAACTTTTTGAAGAAATATTACAGCTAGTGATGATATAGGCGGGGGTTTGAGTGTGCAATGTGGAGAACAACCTTATGGAGATCGAGTGAGAAAATATAATGGTGCTTTAATTTGGAGAAGATTAATTAATTATAGAGGAAAGAAAGAGATCAAGACTAATGCATAAGAACACAATTGTAGCTAGTGAAGAAGACAATTGCATGGGAAAAAGAAGTGGGCTTAGTTTGTCTTTAAATAGGGTTTTGGGAGACAGAAGAAAATATCAAGTTTCTGGAGACATGGACGAAGCTACATGTTATAGAGGGCGGTCAACTAACCACCCTTCGTCGGAAAATTACACTGCGTATATAGGTCAAATATTAGATTTTAGAATTATATAACATATATATTGAAAACTCTTTCTCGGAGAATATTTTTCACTTCTTTCAAGCTTGAACACCCTTGAGTAAATTGCTGGCTTCGCCTTTGTCCGGAGATATCCCCCTTCTATATGAAAATATTCTAATTCCTTAAGTTGCAAATTAATGAGACTAGATCTCAAATGGGCTTTACAACGAGCTTTCATCTCCTACCTACCCTCCCATCGGGGTGGGGTGTGAGCTACTGTTCTATTCAGTGTGCGAGTGTCAGAAACTACACGTAAGACCGTGTTTTTTATTGCATTTATTCACTAATGTGAGTTATTATTATTTTTTTGTGGAAAAAAAAAAGGGAACTTATTCAAGATATCGGCAAAGTAAATCTTTTATTAAAATGTGAAATAAAATTGAAGGAAGTTTTCCATACTCGACTTCTAGTATCGCAGTCAAAGAGGAAACTAAGAAAGATTGGAGAAGATGGGGGAGTTGACCAGTCAAGGATATGATTCACATTGCATACAGAGATACGGAGTATGTTATATGTATATATTTTCCTCAAACGGAAAGCATATAAACAACACGTCAAGAAAATCATATCGCCGACTCTCTTTCTGAGATTATTATTTCATCAGTATCAGTATCAGTGTATTTAATCTATTATAACTGTCATTTAATCTAAATTATATGTTATTAGATGAAATATATTTAATTACTTTTTAAATGACATAATTGTAACATGGCCATCGGATTATCAGGGGCGAAGCTATGTGTGGGCGGTGTGGCTAAGGGTGGTCGATTGAACACCCTTCGCCGAAAAATTATGGTGTATTAGGATAAAATACTACTTGTAGGTGATCAAAAAATAAATTTTGAACATTCTTGCATAGATCACTGGGAAAAGGTGTTCAAATTTTGAATACCCTTATTGAATTTTCTGGTTTCGCGGCTTCCGGGTTTTGATTTATTAGCGGTTATATTGGAGATGAATCCATATCTGATTCTCGGCCTCAGTATATTATCTACTTTGACAGATCAATTCACCATTCCTGCTTAATAGCTTTTTTAGTCCAGTCACTGATCTGCTGCAACTTCCGAGTGATCTGCTACAGTTATTATTTCTTTTACATTTTCAGTTACGTACTTTTAAGAAGTTTATTCAATAGTTTGGCTTCTCTGTACCTTTGTAAATGTGTTAGATATTTTCTAGATGGTCCATCTCATGTATTACTACGTCGCATAAGCAGAGGCGGATTTATAATCAAAATCATGGGGCACGTGAATTTATTATCTTTCCGTATTAGATAGAAAGAATTATAACAAAATACACATGACTTCACACCATAACAAGAAATGACCTATGTTTTTAAGTTTTACCCAACCTAACTCATATTGTACATATTTTGAAAATACTAGCTCTTGCAAATTCAAAATATGTGTTCTTACACACATTGCTTCTAAAAGCTATGGAATTAAATCTGTGTTCTCACAACCATTGCTTTCACTCTCTCTTCTTCTCACATCTTTTACATATGCTTCAAGGCGTCGTCCACCATTACTGCTTCTCCCCCTATGTCACCTGGTTGCAATGCAAAAAAATTGAAGGATAGAAGTCCACCATTGAAGGCCATTCAAAGCTTTGCTTTAGAAAATAGAATTTTTTGAGTTTGTTAGTTGTTTGGATTAGGTGTTGTTCCAATTGATTAAAAATATCAAAAGGAGTTCAAAGTTTAAATTTGAAGTGATTTGGAGTAGATTTGAGCAAGATTTGAGTTAGATTTCAGAAAAGACGCAAGGAAGAAGACAAAATTAATTTTTTTGTATAATTATGTATAATCTTGTATAATAGTGTATATGAGTGTATAAATACATCTTATACACTGTTGTACACTTTTATACACCTTTATACAAACGTTTGTAGACGAACTTCTTCCACGATTTTCAATTGCAATTCTTGTTCAAAACCAGTCCAAATCTCCATTAAATAACTTCAAATTTTATATACAACCTCCTTATACTATTTCTAACAAGTCTAAATAACACCCACTCTAAATTTCTTACAAAATAAAATTAGGAATTTAAATCCACATATTTAAGCTTGTTAAAAATCTAATTTTCACCACCCAAATGGATTTGGTTTGTTGAACTAATATTTGAGTCACAGTTACTGATTCGAAAATTAACTTAAAAGCTTGAGCAATCTTTTTTAAAAATTAAATAGTAATTTTGAGAACCTATTGGAGTTGGATGTTTAATCTTAGCCTATTATTTTTGGGCTAGTTGGTTGTAAATTGAAATATGGGCTATAAAATTGAAAAGTGGGAAGCCCAGTTGTTCTTATGTGAAATTTTCCCTATTAGATATTTAGTGTTCGTTTGGACATAAAATTTTGATGGAAGATTTTTTCAAAAAATTTCATTTTTTTTCGAGATCAGCGTTTATTCATAAAATTATCAATTTTCACTTGAAGATGCATTTTGGAAATTTTCGAAAATTTGAAAAACTGCAAAAAGCTATTTTTCAAAATTTTTACTCAAATCACTCACAATACTTCAAAAACAACCCAAACTGAAATTTATGTCCAAACACAACTCTAAATTTTAAATACCATTTTCACTTGAAAAAAAATTTCACCATTTTTCGAATTTTACAATTCTTATGTCCAAACGCCTACTTAATGTACGTATTTTCTAGAATTAGTCCAATATTATTTGTTGACACCCATTTTCCAAAAATACTAAAGGGTGCACTTGATTGAAATACTGGTTTATTTATATAGAGAAACATGGATCAATTCTGACTTGGTTTTTTTCTATTCTTTTTTAGTGATGCACTCATATTCAAAAAATTCAAAATCCGCCTCTGTGCATAAATATAGCATTGAAGGAATTGATCTCTCATGACGACCAATTACAATGAAATCTTCCATATTGTCTTCCATATTTTATTTATTCATTATCTAAATTATGGGTGTATTTGGTACGAAGAAAAACATTTTCCGAAAAATATTTTCCAAATATTTTTATGTTTGGTTGGCTTAAATGTTTTGGAGAACATCAATCATTTTCCTCCCAATTGGAGGAAATTATTTTCCCTATCAAAAGGAGGGAAAACATTTTCCAAAATTCTTTTTCAACCTTTTTCACCCTATTCCCCATGCCCACCAACCCACCCTCACCCACCTCACCCCACCCCCAAACCACCCAAACCCCCTACCCCTACCTCACCCCACCCACCCCAACCTCGCCCACCACCCACCCTAAATAAAACTATTATTAAGGGTACTTTTTTTTTTTCATGATGTAATAAAAGTAATTTCTTTCATTTCAACAAAATGAGTACTTTTTTTTATGATATAGAAAAAGTATTTTTTTTTCATTTCAACAAAACGAGTACTTTCTTTTCATAAGGTAGAAAAGTATTTTCTTTCTTTTCAGCAAAAACAGTACTTTTTTTTCATGATTTAGAAAAAATATTTTCTTTCATTTCAACAAACTAAGTATTTTCTTTCATGATGAGAAAATATATTTTCTTTCGTTTTAACAAAAGAAGTACTTTCTTGAAGTAAAAAAAAATTCTCATTTTAATAAATTGAGTAATTTCTTTTCATGATGTAAAAAGGGTATTTTCTTTCATTCAACAAAATGAGTAATTTCTTTTCTTGTTGTACAAAAGATACTTTCTTTTCCAACAAAATAAAGTATTTGTTTTTTATCGAGCTCAAATTTTAACGTTGTTCTTGTGTCAAAAAGTAAAGTAGCACACTTGCTCTTTTGGGTTTGTGTGAATTTTGAAAAGAGTAATTAAATTCTTGAAGAAAATAGAGTATGGGGGAGGGGAGTGGGGGGAAGGAGTACAGGAAACATAAGGATTTTGAGGAAATATTTTGTACTCTCTAACCAAATACTAAAAAATATTTTCCGCAAAAAGTTTTCGTTCATCCACCAAACAAAAAAAAATAAGTGATAAAACCACTCATTTTCCAGCATTTTCCTTCGTACCGAACACACCCTGTATTGCCGATCTTTTGCAAAAAGAGTCGTATAACTAGATCTAAGAACATTTGTAATGGATCATAAATTAAACCGATTAAATATGTATATTCATATAAGTTTGTTTTCTTTTGTTCTCTCATGATTTTCCTTTTGTTTTGGTAATCCAAGGAGCTGTTTGTACATACTCCTATATGTTTTTAATGACCAATATATCTACTTTGTACAATATTCTCTACTCTTTTCTAAGGCGACGAGATGTAAACTAAATTTTAAAGCAGCTTTGAACAAACGACTAGTTCAATACCTTTTTACCCTGTATAATTTTTTTAGTTGGACAATAGATAAGTTTTCACTGCAAGCATAACCTGAAAATTAGATTGCAGTGCCTGTTATAAACTACACTGACCGCTGTGTTAAATTACATTAAGAGTCTGTTTGGAAAGCCACTTAGGAATTGAATTTGTGTGTAATTGGATGTAATTACACTGTTTGATGTGTTTGTCTGGCCAAGTAATTACTTGGTCAACATGAAATTAGGTGTAATTGAATAGATGTAATTACAGTACTCTCCAAATCTCAAGAGAAAGTGAGAATTAGTGGTAATTACACTATGTAATTACAATGTTACTTTCTAATATTTTTCCTTTTTATTTTTATTTTAATTTATTTTCTTTATAACCTTTTATTTCCATTATTTTAATTTATTTTTATTTTTACTTTTTATTATATTTTTACGTTTTAATTTCTTTTTGAATTTTAAAATATATTTTCTTTGTACATTATTTAATATTTTATTTCTCTACCTTATATTTTCTTTGTACATTATTTATATTTTATTTCTCTACCTTTACTTCATGTGATTTCATATAACTGCTCGTATATTTTATTTCTTATTCATTTTATTTTCTTTATTTAGTGTAATTGCGTTATTATTCTAGTTTTTGAACTACATCTCCTAATATTAGAAATAATGAGTCATTAACAAATTTGGCATATGATGAGTGATGCCATTAACGTAAAATTTTGTTGTTGAATGAGGTTATAAACTTATTATGTTTCCTAATCTTAAGTTGTATTAGAAC